CCAACCCCAAAAAGAGAACCAAAGCATTGTCGCCTTTGTTGAAGAGTGAGTGAATCAATGAAGTAGCAGATAGCAGAAACGAGGGGTAATCCATACGATCAATGAAGCTGTATGAAACCCAAGGAGAATGTAGTTCACTCATGAAAACCTGTACCAATAACTATGTTACGTACTCTATTACGTAAAGTTCCTCCATCTCAAATTAGACAAGGTAATGTACTTTTTGTCTGTTCCAAAATAAATGACATATTTTTAAATTTGAAAATAATTTAATTTTAAACTCTTTATTTTATGCATTTTATCCTTAATAAGAAGCTTTTATAATCACAAAAATGTCATGGCCCCACAAAAATTTTACCCATTAAGCTTTTAAGACCACAAGTTTCAAATATTTTTTTTTCTTAAACTCCGTTCCGGATCAAAGTACCTCATCTAAATTGAAACGGAAAGAGTAAGTTGTAACAAAGAATTATAAGTTGATGAACTGACCTACACGTCATCAAGGAAGCTGTATGCAGTTGCAATCAGAGATCAGGAGGATATATAGATAGCTTGAATCCGCTGCTTTTAATATAATTACCTTCCAAATTAGCTTGCTTGAGTTTCTTGGTTTGGATATCACGTGCACATTTTGCTGCTAATTTGGTGGTGACGTTCAGTTCCATCACTTGGAGGCTGCGTACATCCGCCAGGCCAAGGGGAATTTCCGCAAGTTTTTCACACGATACAAGAACCAGACGCTTCAGTCTAGGAAAGTTATCAGCTGAAGCATGCCAGGCTGCTAGATCTGTTCTCTGAATCCACAGGACCTGAAGGGAACCAAAACCACCAACTTTTGGCTCCCAGTACTCTCCCTTAAATGCATTTTCTTTCAGTTTTAGAACTTCAAGGTACTGCAATTGTCCAAGTATAGACATATCATGATCCCAGTCCAACCAAGTATTTATTAACGTAAGCTTCTGCAACTTCCTTGGAAATATGTATGCTGGAGGAAGGCGTAGTGGTGTCCGGCCTATTTGACCAACATCATTAATTAACTTTAAACTTTCAAGGCACTCTAGCTTCTTGACATTGTTGAATAGTGCAGACTCGTTTGACTCAAGAAGCATACCTATGTTGCCACGAATGCCCAACTTCTTCATATTTGGAGCCCTCACAAACACATCTTCCGTGCAACTTTCAGGTGCAATTGTCGAAAGAGTTTGTAAAGCTTGGTTTACCAGGGCAGCTTTACTACTTTTTGGGGCACGTAATATAGCAGAAGCATTAGTGTGAAGATGCCTCAGTCGTGGCATGTTCAATATGTCTGCTTCAATGTCAAGAGTCCTCTGTTGTGTGTCAACAATAAGAGTTTGCATGTTCCAAAGCCCTCCCATTTGTCTAGGAATGATCTTGAGGGAGTCGCTTGAGAATGCTATATATCTCAAATGATATAGCTGGAAAAACTCCTTGGTAAAGCGATTAAATGTGAGGGATTCTGCATCCAACACCCTTAGTAGAGGAAAAGCTTTCGGGATATTTGGAATATCTCTAGCAGGCATCTCCAATTTTTTTGATGGAAAGCTCAAGAATGACCTGACATGTTCACCAAAAGGTTTCGTAGAGATGAATTGTAAAACAGAGGAATGAATGCATAAGCGACGGTACGTTGCTAGCTCTTGTTGTCCAAGAGCAGATTGCCTAATATCAAGACTTACTTCTTGGAAAAGGTTTTCCTCCATAGTCGCCTCATGCCTGCAAAATTCGTGCAACATATCATGAACACGACATGTTTTAATTTGGCCATCAGAAGTTCTCTGCATTACCATCACCAAGTTTCTGTTGACAAGATCATTCAAGTAATCCTCTGCCTTACATTCAAGAGTTAAGCGTCCATTGTACTGAATGAAACCTTCCGCGATCCATAAACGGATCAGCTTCCAAGCAGGGATCTCAAAACCTTTAGGAAATGCACCGCAATACAAGAAGCACGCCTTCAAGTCATAAGGCAAGCGATCATAACTCATTTGCACCAGCTTTTTACAATTCTCCGGGTCTTTATTTATGAGGTGCTCACCAACACTTTGATCTACTTGCTCCCATTCTCTTGTTGTCTTACCCTTACCGATTAACGCCCCTGCAATCACCACAATTGCAAGGGGTAATCCCTCACATTTTTTGGCTATATTTAGTCCGTACTGTTCCAACTCCGAAGGGCATTTATCCTTGTGGAATACCTTCTTTTCCAGCAACTCCCAACCTTCACTATCAGTTAAAAATTTCAACTTATGAGGATCATCATTGCAATGCTTAGCTACAATGTTATCTCGAGTGGTCAACAACACTCTATTACACTTGTTGTTGTTCGGGAAAGCAATTTTGAGACGATCCCAAGCTTCTCCAGACCATACATCATCCAAAACAATTAGATATTTTCCTCCCCTCCCCAAAAAATCACGTATTACTTGAGCCAAATCATCCTCAGACATATGAGAATATTGTGTAGTATTTCGCTTGAATTTACTAATAATGTTGAGAAATAAGTCCCTTCTCTTGTATGACTGTGAAACATAAACCCAAATGCGAGTGAAGAACTCAAACTCAACTGTAGCATCCTTGAATATCTTATTTGCCAGTGTCGTCTTTCCAAGACCTGGCATACCAACGACTGGAATAACCTTTAAATTGTCTGATCCTTCAAGAAGACGATCAATTACCTTCTTGGCCTCCTCGTCAAAGCCAACAACGTCATCTTCCTCAACCACAGGAGGCTTTTAAGAGAACATTGAATTGTCATAATATTAGATTTAAGAAGCCAAATAACACTGACAACAAATAAAAGTTAATGTGCTTCAATTACTAACTAAGAAAGACATGCTTCTGTCTTTAGAAACTTGAAAATAAATTGGTAAAGGTAATGGATTCTTAAATGAGATCGAACAGTCTGATAATTGTGACAATCCTAAATGAATAGTTAATTCAGACAATGTTTATGTAACTAGCTTCAAAGAATTTGTTAAAGTCATGTGATTGACATGTTTAAAAGATTGCCAATATGCAGGTTTTATAGGCCCTCTTCCTATACCATCGATTGAGTTCCTACTCGCTTTTTTGCTCTCCTATGCGAATACTTTTTCAAAATATTATGAATTTTAAAAGTTTCACTAACTATTTTTTTCTGGTAACGATCCGGCCGGTCGTTTAGATTATTCTAGCCTTGTTCCCCTATTTATTGCTTCCTCTATGTTCAATTGTGGTTATGCGACTTGCCGGGGTGGTTAGTTTGGTTTCGGGTGAGTTTCAGAGTGAGTTAGGACACTAAGTCCCAAGGTTGAAAGCTTAAGCTGGAAGAGTTGACCTTAGTTTGACTTTTGTGTAGACGACTCTAGAATCGAGTTTTGATGGTTCTGATAGCTTCATATGGTAATTTTGGACTTAGGCCTATGTCCGATGTTGATTTGGAGGTTCGAAGGTTGATTTGGTGCTTTTTGGTAAAAGTTGAAAAATTGAAGGTATGAAATGTTGACTTTATTCCTATCGGGCTCGGATTATGATTTCACGAGTTGGTATAAGTCTATTGTATCATTTGGGACTTGCATGCAAAATTTGAGCTCATTTGGAGTTGGTTTGATATGATTCGGTGTTGTTTTAGAAGTTGAATGTTCATAGGTTCTATAGACTTGAATTGGGGTGCGATTCGTAGATTTGATGTTGTTTGATGTGATTTAAGACATCAAGTAGGTTCATGTTGTGTTTTGGAACTTGATGATATGTTCGGACGGGTCCCAAGGGCCCCGGGTGTGATTCGGATTGAATCCTATTTCATTTTGGACTTGGAGGATTTTGATGCCTGCTGAAGTCTGGTGCATTCCCACCTGCGCAATTTGGGTCGTACGTGCGGCGCTGCAGAAGCGGTTGAATGGCCGCAGGTGCGCAAACGCAGAAGGGAGCAATGCTCCACAAATGCAGAAAGATAGATTTTGACGGGGGACCGCAAGTGCGGTATTTATGCACAGAAGTGGACACGCAGATGCACCTTTGGTCCGCAGAAGCAGAAGTGCAGATGCGCCGTGTGGTCCGCAAAAGCGGAAATTACTGAGTCTTAGTGAAGCCGCATCTGCGATGGTTTTCCGCATATGTGGAGTCACAGAAGCTACAATTTGTCCGCAGGTGTGGAAAGCCTGCGCAGAAAATTGATGAAATCGAGGGTTTATTTCATTTTTCATATTTTAAGTTAGAGAGCTCGTTTTTAGGCGATTTTGGAGAAAATTTTCAAGGATTGGATTGAGGTAAGCATTTTTTACTCGATTTTTTTCATTAATCATGATTTCATCATTATTTTTATTATTTAATTAGTGATTTGAGTTGGAGAGATTGGGAATTTTTGTGAAAACTTTCCTAAACCATGAATTGTGGATTTGAAAGTCGATTTGAGGTCGGAATTGGATAATTTTAGTATGGTTGGACTTATATCGGAATGGATGTTCAGATTTTTAAGTTTGGTTGAGTTCCGAGGTGCTAGCTCAGGTTTGACTTTTTTATTTTCTTTAATGATTGAAACTTTATTACCGGAATTGCTTCCTATGGCTTGTATTTATGGTATTAAGTTATTTTGACTAGATTCAAGCCGTCCGGAGTTAAATTTTCGCGGAAAAGGCTTCTTAGTGGATTGATTTAGCTTGCTTGAGGTAAGTATCTTGTCTAACTTTGTATGGAGAAAATAGCCCTTAGGACTTGGGTTGATTTGTGTTATTTGTATTATATGAAAGTCGCGTACATGAGGTGACGAGTGTGTACACGTGCTTATGTGTGGTATTTTTACCGCATTAGACTCTTTGGCTTTTTCATGCATTTAATTAGAAATTGTAATATCATGTTATATCTTCCGTTGTTAAATTTCTCTCGCATTATTTACTTGATGTTGTTATCACATGCTCTATCTCTTATTGTCAAACATGCTTTTATATGCTTTAATTGATGTTGTTATCTCTCTTATCATCATGTGCCTTTTTAATTGTGGAGTTATTCTCATTTGAAGTTATCATTCCATGATGTCTCTTCGTGTTGAATTATTCTCATGTATTTAGACGTAGTTTCTATTTCATACTATCTTTTTCGTTGTTAAGCTTATATTATACAATTGAGTTGGAAGTTGTCTTTCTTGGGAATGCTTTCATTTTGAGTTATTGAAGTTGAAGTTATGAAAGCTATTATCACATTGAGGTTGAAGTTATTGATTATTGAGATATCTTTCCTTGTTGAGTAATTCTCATTCATTATGTTATTATTGAGATTCTTGTTCACATTGTAGTTGAGTCGTGGGCTATATGTTGTGGTAACTTTGGTATTATTGATTTTGGCAAGTTGTGGCATATGGGCACTTGTAGTGCGAGTTGTTATTGTGTTGTGTTATTGATGTGTCTGTGGCGGTATAAGGATAGGGGTTAATGTGTATACGACAGCATTAGGTGGGATTTATGTACGTATTGCTAGTAAGAGAATTACTTGAAGCCACGCGGCGACATATGGGGGCTAAAGTGCATGTAGCTATTTCAAAAAAAATATTTTCAAAAATATCTAAGTGTAAGGGTCACGCGGCGGCATAAGGAAAGCTTGTGATTTTAAATTGTGAATTGTGGATATGAGGCATGGTACCTCGATTGTGATTCTTGTTATACTTTCTATGTTAAAGAGGTTTGTTGGTTTAACAGTTTTATTATCTCTCCATTTGCCTTACTAGTATTTGTCTGTATTGATTTCTTGTTGTTCTTATCATGTGTTCACTCCTTGTTGCCTTTATTGCTTTAAGTTCCATTGTTAGTTTACATTATTGAACTGCTTTATTATTATTCATTTCCTCGTCTTCCATTATTTAACTATACTATACTCTATCTAGTTTTCTAGTCCTAGTAGAGTCTTGACCTGGCCTCATCACTACTCTACTGAGGTTATACTTGATACTTAGTGGGTACCGTTGTGGTGTACTCATGCTACGCTTCTACATATTTTTGTGCAGATCCAGGTACATATGCTCGTGTCGGATGCCAGTAATCATTCAATTATCTTGTCGGATGTCAAGGTGTAGCTCGACATCTGTAGGTCTTGGAGTTACCTTGTTCTATTTCATTACTATTGTTTATCCTTTCATCAAACAATGTTGTATTAGAGATTTTAGTACATTTCTGTAGAGCTTATAACTCAATTCCGCTGGTTTTGGAGATATTGTTACTGAGGTTTCCGCTTTGGAAATATTTTGAGCTTTATCGGTTTATTTTATTATCTTAGTTCATTATTTCTGTTAAGCTATTCATGAACGTTACACTTACCTAGTCTTAGATATTAGGTGCCATCATGACTACCTTAGGTGGTATTTTGGGGTCGTGGCATGTTGGTATCAAAGCTCTAACGTTCATAGGTGCTACGAGTCATAAGCAAGTTTGGTAATGTCTTGCGGATCGATGCAGAGACGTCTATACTTATCTTCGAGAGGCTACGAGAATGTTAGAAAAATTCCACTTTGTTGATTCCTTATCATGCAATTTGTTGATTTAGAAATCTGAGTTTTTGTCTTTCTACTCTCTCATAGATGGTGAGGACACGCACTGCTGAATCCGATGATCAGATACCCATGTCCCCTACTAGAGCCGCGCGAGGCCAGGGCTAAGGCAGAGGTCGAGGAAAGGCATGTGTTGTAGTTAGATCACCTGCCCGAGCAGCGACTGAGGAGCAACCAGTAGCTCCGGTTTGGGGACAGGCGCCTATTGTCACCCCTACACTTCAGGAGACCTTAGGATAGTTTTTGAGCATGTCTGGCACTCTTGTTCAGGCGGGATTGATTCTCCTTGCACTAGCTACATCTCAAGCTGGGGGAGGAGCTCAGAATCACATCGCCCGTACTCCAAGGCAACGGGTTCATTTTGATCTGGTCCCGGGATTTATGCCAGTGCAACTTGTTATTCAGTTTTAGCCCGAGGTTAGGGCGGAGGAATCTAAGGAGGAGGAGCTGAGTCTTGAGAGGTTCAAGTATCACTCTCCTACTTATAGTGGCACAACTACCGAGGATGTGCAGGGCTTTCTAGAGAAGTGCCACCGCATTCTTTGCACCATGGGTATTGTGAAGACGAGCGGATTTGCCTTTACTACATTTCAGCTATCAGGAGCAGCCTACAGGTGGTGGCAGGCTTACGAGGAGGGTAGGACAGGTGATGCAGCCTTCTCACTTGAGCTCAGTTATAAGAGATATTCTTGAGAGAGTTTGTTCCCCAGGCCCTTCGCATGGCGCATAGAGTTTGAGCAGATGTGTCAACGGACTATGATAGTATCAGAGTATGCTATTAAATTCAGTTGTCCCGACATGCACCTACCTTGGTTTCTACAATGAGAGAGCGAGTCTGCAGATTCATGGAGGGGCTCAACTATGGTATTAGATTTAGCATGGCTCGAGAGTTTGAGGCCAAGGCCTCGAGGTATTAGAGAATTTAGTGGTGGCCACGCTATAGCTACAGCCCGACATGGTAAGGCATATGTGAGTCGGCCAGTTCATTCAGCACTTCTAGTTACTAGAGTGCTCCGGCTACTTCTAGGTCTTAGGTTGCTCACTATGCACAACCACTTTCTAGTGCACCTCCTACTTGTGGTGCCTTCAGTGGACAGTCTAGCCGACCACGATAGAGTCTATTTCAATAGCCATGCCCACTGAGAGCTTGTTTCGCGTGTGGTGACACTAGGCATATGGCGAGGGACTGCCCCAGACTCAGGAGGGGTACACCTCCAT